GAAACTTTTGGACTTGGACTTGACTTGGACTCGAACCTCTTTGGACTCGGTCTTGACTCGGTCTCGACTAGTCCTGGTCTTGGACTTGTCTTGGACTCGACAAAGCTGGACTTGACTACAGCTCTAGAGTGACCTCTACTGGTAGTCGGCCGGAAGGCCACGGACCGGATTCGTGACACAGAGCAGTTCTAGAGATTATGTTTATGTGTTCATGTACTCCTATATTGAGGCAGCAGAGGCTGAAAACACTGTGAGCTTCAGTAGGCCTATGTGTAGTAAATGAAACCGCATGTCTGCGCCATTAATTTCCACAAGGGGCGGACTGGGGAAAAAATTCAGGCCTCACACTCATACACCCACAACAAATTCTGAAACATGGAAAACCCTATTTTTTGTATGGACCTCACATAAAAAAGGATTAAATCCTTTGGGGAAATGCAAAATAATTAAAAGTTCTCTCCTGAACTGCACCTTCACTTCCATTTTTCTTTTCAGTCTCTTTATTTTGCCCTGATATCTATCTCTCACATGACTTTAATACTCCCGATTTAACAAAACTATACTTTCTAAATTGCCTACATGTCAAAATTAGAACATCACTACAATATCTTTATAGAAAAATCCTAATACTGAACATGAGTTTTTTCCTTACAAAAATTAACCATGCTTTTATTATAGTAAAAGTACAGCAACCATGTTTTTATTGTTTTTTTGTTTGGCAAATGGATTACCATTTGTATTTATTTTTACTACAAATTCCATGGTTAAACTATGGTTAGTGTAGCAAAAACCATGGTTAATTTGTGTTTACCATGGTTTAACAATAGTAACCATTGTCTTTGGACTTATAGTAAAATCATCGTTAATTTTCGCAAGGGCTGTGTTGTTGTCTGCCCTAGCTCCCCCTAAACCTATTATAAAATATGATTATTTGTCTGCTACTGTAACAGATAATTATGATGTCCTTTATACAGTATTTTGAGTGATGACTGACGAGCAATGGGCTCCTGCTGCTTAACTAAGTAAACAAAGACAAAACTACAATAGAATATTTACAGATGAAACTGACCTGTACTTGAAACCCTGAACAGTTTTGCTTCTCTGCTCCAGCTGTGCGCTTCCACAGTCCACTCCATTCTCTCTCTCGCATTGATTACTCTGATCCAAACCGAGCTGAAGCATTGCCAGTCACGACTAACCGATTCATGATTTATTAGATATTTAATTATCAAATGGAGACTTTTGAAATAATCGCTTTAGTACATTCGGCAGGCAATTATACAATAATAATATTAAAATAGCGGGCCAAATCGGCTGCCAGGCCACCGGGAATTGTCCGTTTTTATGACTGGATTCTACGAACCAGTCTGTGTTTTACGCATCGCGTAAATTAAAGGGCCGTATGTCTCAGAGTAGTCAGTGCAATTTGGGAAAGAAATCAATTAAATCTGTATGTGGATGTGTGTAAATATTAAAATGTAATCCCCTTTGTAATCGTTAGCATTTTCATAAGTAGGCCTAACTGTAATTTAATTACACATTTTTTCTTAGTAACTGTAACTGATTACAGTTACATTTATTTTGTAATTAAATTACGTAACGCCGTTACATGTAACGAGTTACTCCCCAACACCGTGTATAACAAACACTATAAACATCAACACAGCTGAGTTAAGCCCGAGCATCTCTGCATCTGCTCAAGATCCTGTGTGAAGATGCAGTGGCACATAAAAGCTGTACTAAAATGAGCCTCTAATGCAGATTTGGTTAATTTTTCACATGAAGAAATTTCATATTTAATGGTTTTGTGGTATCAAATTTGTTTAATAAATTCAGGGCTACAATGATGGAGAGTTTAGTTCAAACCTCAAAAACACCTGAACCAAGGTGTTGAGGAATGATTGAAAATAGCAGGAAGGTCTATTGAAGCAGAGGGGGCTATGCCTGATTTATACCATATTTGTGGTATAATTATGTGTGCCCATTAAGATGAAGATTTTGCTGTCGAAAGATAGCGTGAAATTTTACCTTTCACACCTGGACATGTGTGACAAAGTTCAGTGTTGAGAGGTCGAGTCTGCTTGCTGATGGAATTGTTCACCACACAGCTGTAGGAATCATTCAGACACTCCAGACGTAAAGAAAGGCTTCTGTTTTGTTCAGACACACTGATGCTGGACAATAAACTGTTTCCTTTGTACCAGGAGAGAGTCACATGACCCACATTCACCACTGAACACACCAATGAACAATTCTGCTGTGATGAAGATGATGATGAAGGATCTCGTAAAGGGTCACTGCTGATAACAGGAACAGGCAGTTGAGCTGTAATAACAATGTTATGTCATTAAGAATATGTAGGGAATAAGTTACACCAGATCGGGTTTTTTTTAAGTGCCTTTCTAGGGTCAATTCATTTTTGCATGTTTCTGGAGTTAGACATCAGTGTAGTTATTAATGGTAGATTGATTTCATGCCTGTGGATCCAACAATATTTGTTGTTGACCCTATTCAAAAAACTTAAATTAAGGAATGACCTCATTTTAGTGTTTTACACTCATCTTATAAGATGCTTTGTATTTGTAAGTGATATACCTCATCCATGGAAAAAAGTACATTATATATTATATTAAACACTGTATTTTAAAACTTGCTGAAATATTAAAAGGGACTCATTTATCATTTCTTTATGGCTTATGACTCAAAAAATATCAAAATATATTTTTAAATTTTTTGAAGGAGATGTGAGTAGTGTCTGTACAAAACTTACTCCCACATTGCTATGGGGTGGTTGCCATGTTATTTATTTTATATTTAATTTTTAGTTTTTTTTTGTTGTTTTTTTTAATTTAGCTTAACTTTGAATTATAAATGAATAAAATTAAGTATTTGGTGGAGCTACTTTAGGGATAGTATTAATTAAGGGCAGACGACAAACACGCTGAACTTGTAATAATTTGTGAAAAGAAGCCTTGAGAACATCAGTTATGTTTTCATGTATTTGCATTTGTTCTTGTAAGCTGTGGCAGTGACAGAAGCCCGTCAAGTGTTTTTGAACTGGAATTCATATGATAATAGTTACATCACTGGCCTAAAAGAGAGCAAACGAGCCTGAGCTTTACTACTCACCATAGACAGTAACACTGAATCTGTGTGTGGTCTCTTTTGAGGCTTTTATGGTTATTTGATAGAGTCCAGAGTCTGTGTTTGTGATGTTCATGATGGTCAGAGATCCAGTCTGAGGATCCAGCTTCAGTCTGTTTCTGAATCCCACACCATCACCATGAGCTGTGTTGAAGATTTCATCCTCTTTATTAATATGAGCTATTAATGTAAGAGGCTCTGCACGTCCAAATTTCCACAAAATTCGATCTTCTTTCTGTATTTCAGTGAGACCAGATTCTAAAGTGACAGAATCTCCCTCCGTCACTGACACTGACTTCATTGCATCTGGAGCAGCAAACACACCTGAAGAACACAGACAGTTGCTCATTTACACAATGAACTTGTTATTAAAGTAAAATAAATATCTCAGTGCTGGTTTAATTCAGCTTTAAGCTTGTTTCAGTTTTGAGATGATTGAAAACTTTGGAAATACTTGGTTTTGACATTAATGTGAGACTTTGAGGACTGCAGTTTTAGTGAGTATTTGAGTTGATTTGAGTCTAGTTCTGCTCATAAACCTGTGTTAGATGGATCTTTAGACACTTTTGCATAATTTGCACTGTTTTCACAAATTTCCAACTCCAAACTGATAAAAAAGTTGTATGTTTTCTTTTACACAATCATTGTTTCAATACAAGATTCAATCATCAAAACAACAAAACAATGCTTCATTGGTTTGACTGTTATAATGATCAGTCATTTCAAGGTAAGACACACATTTCAAACTCAGAGGTGCTTCATGATTACAGTCCCATTAAAAATGCTCATGGATTACCCAACTAAACTGATATGGGGGAGACTAGGTATGGCTGTAACACTTTTGACACTTTTCGGTCTGTATCGTGGAGTTAATTTAAGTAAGTGCATTCAAAATGTGATTCAAACTTTACATATGGAGGACTGAGAGTGCCACTTAAAAATAAAATGAAGAATAAATTTATTGATTTAATAATTCAGACATAAAAATGTATATAAATAAATCACTTTAAATGGACAAATTAATAGATATTTAAAGATGTTTATTTAATTAGTGTTTTTAAATGTAGTTTAATAAAACAAAAAAAATTAATGTATAAATAATCAGGGTATCTTTCGTTTATTCGTTTTTTGATTTAATATTGAAAGTAGAACAAATTTTTAATTAAATATTTTAAACTCTAATATAGGCCTAAAAGGGAAAGAATAATGCATTGACTTGGGTATATGATATGCCTATAACGTTCACGCAAAAACAACCGGAGAACAGAGATATTAAAATACATACTCTACTGAGTTTTATAATGTAGTCTTTTGTTTTATTAAAATTGATATCTCATAAGAATATGGGCTTGTGTTTGTGCTTGTGTGAGGCTTGAGTTGCTTTGTTTTTGCTGCACAACATCAGAGAAATTTAAAACTGCTGCGCGCACGTGTGCATGTGTGTGTATAGCCTATATCCAGCAATAAGTGTGTCAATATCACAGTTATGTTTCAGTGCAGACAAAATTAAACTAAATTAATTTCAGTGTTGGGAAAGTTACTTCCAAAATGTAATGCATATATATTAGTTGCTGTCTTTTGAAAGTAATTCGTTACATTACAATAGTATTGTCTCTGAATTGTAATGCATTATACTTTTTGAGTTACTTTCACCAAAATATCCACAGAAGTAAATGACATTCTAAAAATCTAAAATGTAGTTTATTGCTGCTCATTAGCCTACATCCAGAGGGTGATGTGGTAGGCCTACACCATAGCATAAAATGTGTCTCCCTGTAGAATTCAGTAAAATTCTAGTGCATTTAATCTATTAAATAACAGCAGAGTGAGCAAGTTTTTGGATATGGTAAACTTATTTTAGTGAATAAAGTACCACATTTCAGCAATCGTTTTGTTAGGGTGGATACACAAAATTATATTGAAAATCCACCACAGACCTTATTTTAGGGGATCAAACTCCCATTCAAAAAACCCATTGACTCTGGGAAGATGGAACCGGAAATGCTAAAATGCTAACTCGCTTCCCAATTTTTGCCTACAGAGTGACATAATAGTTCCACCACTCTATAGTGTTAGGTTTCAATGGCTTTTGATTTCCCCTTCACTTGTGTCTAGTTCACCTGTGTCTAGTTATTTCTTTTACACAAAGCTGTTAGGTTGCATTTACCTTGGTCTTTGATTATTGTTACTTTTTATTGCCATCTTTATTTATTAATAAAATCCTGCTGCTAATAGATCCTTAGATTACTTGTAGCCCGCAGCAAAATTACAGTCTAACTGGTAGTTAGGTTGTTGTTAAACTAACACATCAATAAATTGCTTAACTTTGACTGTGGTGGCATCATGAAGTTTTTTGCGATGGTTTTGACTATATGATCTCAGTAAGGTCAATAGACACGAGCTGCCACTCAGTTAAGTGCTGATATGGAAGAGGTTTGTCTTCAGTTGCTTTGTGAAAGTTGATTCAGCAAATTGGGTGAAGATTGGGAACTTTATTTTCAGACTCTTTTTTTTCACACTGGGTGAGCTGGGTTTAACTGTTACACATATGTGTTGCACGATCTTTTCTCAAAACTAGCTTCCCTTTTTTTCATCATTTTTGCTCAGTAACTTAATCTGCAGAGGCAGTCATTTTTAGTGGATGTAGCCTATGTTCCAGTGTTAGTTTTTAACAGCTGTGTGTATGAGACTCATAAATACACCAGGAGTCTATGCTTCATAGCTCGCATAATACATTTGACATGGCAGATCTTGTAATTGTGATAACTTATCTCAGGCTAATGGATTTTATTAAAACATCTGCATTAAGCTGCCTGATATTACTGTGCGCTGGAAAGGACAGATATATTGATACTTGAAACCATGATCAGCAATGCAGCAATTGGCTGGCATCAACACAGCAATGTAGTGACATCATACAATTAACATCAAGAAAACAGCCTAGCGTGCATAAAAATGTATATTACTTATTTATTTATTTACAATCTCAAGTAATTGTACAGGCTGCATTATTTATTTATTGATGGTGAAATTGAATTCATTAGAGCTATACAAAAATAACATGCAGCTGTATAAAAAAATAAAAAATAAATAAATATAAAAAAATTCTGTAACTTACCAACCAGATGGCAACAGCACAAACAGCAAAACACCAATGTGTGAAACATGTTCACCATCAGTTCAGTGGTCTGAAATAGTTTCAGTCAAATTTGAAATCTTGCAGTAAAGTTGTGTAGAGAACAAGCTGTTAACAATGTGAACTATCTGCTAACTTCCTCCAGACTGAAGACTGAAGTAGACCATGCCCCATGTGTTCAACAACACTTCCTCTCTAAAACGCGCTCAAAGACAGTCAGTCAACCATCATGTGCAGAATAATTGTCAGCCAGGACAGCCTTCAATGTATTATTTTATTTTTTTGACTAAAGCTATTATTCACTATTAAGTATTCCATTTAGCTTGTGATTTTCTAGACAGTGTGTTATTGTCTCATTAAAATGATTCGCTTTGTTTGTATGTCACGTTGGAAAAAGTATCTGTTAAATTAATAAATATATATGTAGATGTGGATTCACTGAATTCAGATGCTAACTCACTTGATTTTGTGGATGTTGTCCATTAAATCTCTTTCTAGTCTTGACATATGGTTTTTGACCAGTGAAGGTCTGAATAGTTGCAGCAAGTCTTAGTAACAGTTTCTGTTTTTCTCCAGTGTTTGCTGATGCAGTATCATTGTCAGTGAGAGAGGGAGATTCTGATACTCTAAACACTGATGTTACTGTTATTGTTAACGTTTGTATTGGGTGTGCCCTCACACTGCTCATGTCATGTGACCTGTCTTCCAAAAAAAGGACATATGCAAATAAAGGCAGTTCCGGTTCCTCAGAATACCGAGTAGTGAGCATGTTTTTCCCTCCATATAATTAAATATAATTTACCAGTTATCATACGCAAAATGGCTGTGCCAACAGTTATACAGAGATATGATGTGATACGGTGGAGAAATCAATAGAAAGAGTAGAAATGGAGAGAGATTCAGAGACAGACTGAAGCTGGATCATCAGACTGGATCTCTGACCATCAAGAACACCGGAACCACAGACTCTGAACTTTATAAGGTTGACACATAGACTGTAAAAAAAGATGAATGATGCATCTCCACTTCCTTCAACTATAGGAAAGTGAAGCCAAAACATGGCAGTATTGCCTATAGACTGTAAAAAAAAAAAGATGGATGACGCACCTTCACTCTCTCCCATTGAAGAAAAGTGAAGCCACCAATATCCGAATAGGGCGCAGACATATTGTGCAGATTTAGGACCAGAGTCTGTGCAGTACAGATACTGGGACCTGAGTCTGCGCAGTAGTGAGCGAAGTGGATCCGTGTCCCACCAGCACTCCCGCAGAGTCGATCACAAGCACACGCCCATGACCCTTTTTTTAATTAGCCTGACTGCTCCTATTTTTGTCTGCTGATTGCTCTACAAGAGGCTTGTGTTAAAATAAGGTAAATAAAACTCCAGTCTCCTCCTGAAGATTCCGAAAAAGTCTGTTTGTGCCTCAGTTTTGCTCAGTCAATCCCAGCTGTCAATCATGACGTCACACTCCTGTTTTTATAGCATCACATAACTAACTAAAACCAAACTTATTTAAAAAATGAACACTTGAACTTACATCAGCATGATTAAAAACTACATAAAATGACAAAAACCATCTCTGGAAAAAAGTGAAATGTAATTATTTAGATTGTCTCACGTCCCATTAGATTACTTGGAGAGGGCAGGGTTTATGACCTATACCTATACCTATACCTATACCTATACTATACGAAACGTTCTGGCTTCCCTTTTCAAGACTAGTGCGACACACTTGGTATTGCCACTGTCATCCTGTGAAAATGACGTCATTTGGAGCCCGAGTCTGCGCAGTAGTGATCGTGAGGTGGAGCCACAGTATCAAAGTCCCACCCAAACTCCCGCAGACCCAATCACATGCTCACAATCATGACACCACACCCCATTTTTATGGCATCAAATAATTACCTAAAAGCAAACATATTAGAAAAACAAACACTTGAACATACATCAGCGTAATAAGAACTACCTAAAATGATGGAAACCAACTTTGGGAAAAATTTAGTTGAAGTGTATGTTTATTTCATTTTGGCTCACATCCCATTAGTTTATGACGAGTTTACACTGCACGATTTTAGCCCCGATTTTCACTCACTGACAGGTGAGGTTTTAGAACCGTGTTGTGCATTAGAGGGGTAGTGACACAAAAACTATTTTTATTCAAAAAGTAAGAAATAAAAAATGAGGATTTGTGATGATCAAAAACAAGTTAATTGAGGAATTCCTGGAATTCTGAATGATTAAATTAATTTCTTGCAAAGATATAGAAAAAATAAACTCAGTCGAGTCACTTTAGACCCATGTTGTGCATCAAACAACAGTACAGTGAATTTCAGCAAAAATGTGTCTGATAACATGCTTACTTTGCATTTTTTAAGTCTTTCCCCAGCAGGCTCATTTTCTCCAGAATAGTCCTAAAACAAGAAAAAATGGAAACACTTATGAAAAATATAAAGACAGGTTTGCAATCTTAACATTAAAAATTATGACACAGCGGGACATGCATACAAAATACTGAAGTGCTCAAGTTTGGTTTAAACATTTGTAGACATATCTTGCATGACAGCACTACAAAAACACAACAAAGGGAAAGACTATTGTCTATAGTATATAGTTGTATATAGTGGTTGTCTTAAAAAATACACTGAATCGGTGGCTTTTAACACTTGTTTCGCTAGGTATTTGAGTAAATGAAAACACAATACTCACATTTCAATGTGAATTCCCCCACAGAACTCTCCCCCGCCGTGTTCTTTGAGTATTCCATCATCAACTGCAGGCAAGTGATTCTGGGATATGGTGGGGTGTGAAGTGTCCAACAGATGTACACTTCATTTTCCTGGGAAACGGAGGGTGCATTTGAAGTCGCTTTCGAAATACATCAGCCATGGTCGTGCCACGGTGACGCAATCGGCCTTGGAATGAGGTCTTCGGAGGGTGCATTCTGAATTGGGACAGCTTACGTCATGACGCTGTGATGCAATCGCACTTCAAATGCGCACTTCACTTTGGGACACAGCTGCTGTGTCCCAGCAGCTGTGTCGACTGGACTTTTATTCAAACAAAATAGTGGTGATGGTTCTGTGGCTGCCAACGAATACACTTATAAATGTAAGTATTGTGTTTTAATTTGCTCAATTAGCTAGCAAAACAAATGTTAAAAGTCAGGGGTCTTAAAAAATGTGAACAGATTCATTTGTTAGGTGGTCTGAGGCAAAAGAACTTGTATTTATTAGAGGGCTGAATTTGATAATTCCTGTACTTAGGACAAAAACTCTGCCGGAGGCTCGGAGGTAAGGCATTACTCATCTGTAATATTTCCACTAGGACCTCTTGTGTTCACAACAATTAGCCCTCACCCATGTATAAAGCCCACAACAACAAGACAAGTAGGCCTATAAGGCTACTTAATAAGTAGACAAGTCTTTAACTTGCATTTTTATTTCATTTTTTATTTTTATTATTTATTTATTTTGTAGCAAGATATGTCCACAAATGTTTTAGGCAAACTTGATGATCCAGAAATATGATTTTTGAAGTATTTTGTATGCACGTCCTGCTGTCATATTTTCTAACCTTA